AGAAATACTGGGTGGAGTGTGGGGGGGGCTGGGGGGTGGGAGAGAGAAGATAAAGTTGTGCAGTATAGTTATAGGAGCAAACAAAGGCAGATGCCACCATTGGGTAGAACTTGCTTGGCACATTCCTGTATCCCGACAGCTTGATGGAACAGATGGATAAATAGCTTTTAACCCAGCATTTCAATGTGACTTCAAATGTAGATTCATTCAGTGTCCAGGCACCTCTGAGGTTAGTGACAAACCGTGAATATAAACTAAGCCCAGCTCAGAAGCAACTCGCACAAACAAAATCCTGCATTAAAGTCCCGCTCCTCCTAACAGCAGCAGCGTCTGTAAAGGCAAGGAGCGTTCACTGCGTAAAGCTACCGTATATCTCAGCGTTGCATGGCCGCCCGCCTGGGACGAGCTTAAAGACAAACCGGCTCAAATCTTGGGGTGTGAACAAATTCTCTATTCCTGCTCCGCAGTACGCCACGGGCAAAATAACCCCTCCCTAAAAAATGTTGGGTCACTCAATCCACGGCTGTTTGTGCGCAATTGGCTGCCGCATTTCGCCCACCAAATTTAGTCAGTGCTGTGAAGGGCTTTGAGACGCCTCATCAATGTGATAAGGCGCGCTATCAAATGTAAGGATCATTATTATTGTTTGCCGACCGACCTTGGGTGAATTGATTTGCTATTTGCATCTTGGGTTTTGTTGGGTGCAGTCAGACTCATTGAACAAGGAAGTAAAGTCTTCAGAAATATTTGGTACTTATTTGTGTCGAAAGGAGATGCACTTGTAAGGAAAGAACGACAGCAGCCACTGGATTTATGCAACGCCTTTCCTGTAGCCTAACATCTTGGGAGTGCTGAACGCTGCCGGGATTGGACGGCAAGCAAGGGATAAGGTTCCCATAAGTACAGTCAAAGAGTTAGCGTTTCAGGAGAGATCTAAAGGTTAGGGGAGCGAGGCGGAGGGATCGTGGGTGAAATGGTGGAGGAAGAAACAAGTACAACCACTTGCATTTATATAGCGTCCTTCAAGTGGGTCAGCATCTCAGATAGCTTCAAAGCTGAGGAAGTGGCTGAGACTTCCAAAGAAGTACTTGGTTTACGTTAGCTCTTACGGGTCAAGTGGGTGTGTGACTTGCAGCGACTAATTGGTGTATTTTAGACTCTGTGGTTACAGCCGCTGAGAACTTGCAGAAGGAGAGTTTATGCACTTAGCATCCTCTTGGGGGGAGGGAGGAAGATATTGATTGACGCATTTTTTAAGGGGCAATTATTGTTCAGGAGCGGTAAGAGCCTGGTATGTGATAAGACCAGCCCAGATCGGGGGATCCGATCAGGCTGTGTTCACGTGTCATGTTTTAAGAAGTAACTGAGGTGGTCAAAAGAATGCTGAGAAAGCCGAGTTTTAGGGCGTTGGCTCACAGGGCACTTGAGAGATGAGCAGGAAGCGTTGCTCAATCAACGGTGCCGTGCAGAGGTAAGTGGGGTCTCCGTGGAGCTGAACTGGCTCCAAGGTGACGTGTTTGGCAATGGAACGTCGTAATCGAGCCAGCCCTCCCCGTGCGGCGGTCTCTAGTCCCGGTTCCTGAGCCAGGAGGGTCAGCAGTATTCCAGGGAATCCTCCTCCCCCCCCCCCCCCCCCCGCCCTCAGCTCCTGTTCACCCTGCAAACCAAAGCCCTAAAGGGTACGATGGTCTTAGCTGGACAAGCTGCGGGAAAGCTTGCCAGACAGCGATACCAATGGCAAGCCGTGTGGTCTTAGCTGGTTAGACTTCAGACCTCCCTATATTCGTTCAAGTCCAGCAGACCTCTTCCTCAACAGAGAAACGTTTCAAAAACACATGCAATTTTCCAGACCTATCTCAGGATTTTTTTTTTCAGTTTTGACAGTTTTATTTATGTTGGACCTTCGTCACCCATTGAAACGGTGTTCCTCGTGTCTTACACGAATAACTCGCAGCATAAGATGTTTATTAGTAATTGTTTAGAAGCGTGAGCTTTTCAGTGATACTATGCTTTGATAGGGTAGCTAAGGGAGAAACTGTTGCCTCCGGCGGGTGGGTCAGTGACCAGAGGACCCCGATTTAAAATAATTGGAGGGGTGACGAGGACAATTTTTTTTAACCCAGAGAGTCGCTACGGTCTGGAAGCAGATTCGATAATAGCTTTTAAAAAGGAATTGGATAGACACTTGAAAAGGAAAAGATTGCAGGGCTATGGGGTAAGAGCGGGGGTCGGGGGGGATAGAGTGGGATGAGTTGGATAGCTCTTTCAAAGAGCAGGCACAGACACGATGGGCCGAATCGAATGGCCTCCTTCTGCGGTGTACAAATCTCTTCCAGAAGGACACTGTCATAGAAACCATTGCCAGCACAAGGCATTAGCAGGTGGCCTTCAAGAGATGACGTAAGTTTGAAAGTAATGAATTATTAAATTAAAATACTTGGTATTGCTTCCTACTGCAGCTTTGTAAACAGCGAAAACGCTCCGCCTGAAATACTCGGCGTCTGCCCGCGTGCGTCTCCACCAGCATTCTGCGCAGTTACAAGAATAGGCAGTTTTTTTTCCCAAGGGCATCTAACCAGCAAAGGTTTCTGGCGTCTAATTGATCCTTGCGTTGGTATCTAATGCATTGATAACGAAAAGGCAACCTAAACAAAGGAGGGAATTGAGTTTGACGGAAAGAGGCAAGTCTTCGAAGCTCTAATGCGGTCAGAGTTAAGGTTTTGTAACAGCAAACGTGCCTCCAAAATGTACTTTGCAACGTTTTATTTTTGGGGGGGTTTCAAATCTGTGCTTGCATGTTCCGCCCCTGAACTGCCAGACTAACTTTGCATTTAGTTTTATTGAGCAAGGCTCCAACTTAGCTCTGACGTCTATTCCCAACTCAGAGTAAAAGCATCAGGACCTGCATTTCTTGTGAAACCTTAGGCAAGTTTCCTCGCTCCACGCACACGCCTCTGTTTACATAGCAGTAAGTAGCAACCCGGTTGTTAGTCGATAGGCAGATCGCTTTATGGAAGTAATAATCCCTCAGATTAATTTGTTATGTCGCTGAGACGGCAGCCAATTGCGCACAGCGGTGTCCCACAAACGTTCGTCGATTGAGTCACCATCGTTTTTCTTTTTAGGAGGGATTATTAGCCCCGGAAAGCCATCCATCAATCGACTAACAACCGAGCTCCTACTTACTGCTGGGTAAACAGAGGCTTGTGTGTGTGTAGTAAGCAAACTTGCCTAAGGTTTCTCTCCTCCCGGGAATCGCTAACCCTAACCTCCCACATTGGGGGTAATGGGTTAGCGGGTTAGGCTTGTGTAGGAAGGACATTTGCTTTGCTGTGTTGACTGAATCGATGGTTGCAAAGTAGGCCTGAAAAGCACCAACCCTTTGAAGTCCCAAGTTTCTACCACTCCAAACATCAGTTGCATCACACGCAAGAGCTCCTGCTGGTGACCTGTTTTTGCGTGCGTGCGTGTGAGGATGATTTATTCCCCTGCGATTTCCCCGTGGACTCTCAATCTGTGCTGCTGAGAGGGCGAGTGCTGAGATTCCAGGCATCTGTCAACGCAACCTTTGTCTGACGTGCCAGAAAACGTCATCTTCAGAATTGTCGCTTATTTTTCCCTTATGTTGGTGAGGAGTTGCCGCGAGCTCGGCTCGGTGATGCCCAGATTGAGAACCGGGTGGAGTCGGGGATTCGAACTCACAGTAATTGTGCTCCTCTCAAATGGTGGAGAAATTTGCTGCTCCTGTACCTTCTTGGGTAGATTGTGGCGTCCTGTAGGGTAGTGGTGTTAGAGCACTCGCCTCACAAGCGAGAGGTCCCTGGTTTGATTCTCAAGTGGGGCGCAAACTTAAGCAAGTTTCCTTACTCCGCACTCCTCTGTTTACCCAGCGGTAACTAGGAAGCCAGTTGTTAATCGATTGGCGGATTGCTTTCCGGGGGTAATAATAATCCCTTTAAATAAAAGCTTCACAGTGGCGGATTCTGACAACGAGCCGGGGGTGGAGGTGGGGAGGTGACCGTGAGCACGATCAAAAAGGAAGGTCTTTAGGCGGGATTTGAAGGTGGGGAGGGAGGGAGGGGGCAAACTCTTCACATCAGGACCCTTTAACATCTTCATCTCAGCCAACAGAGGCCAGAAGGCGCAGCTTTCCTGGTAGGAGAGCTCTACCTCCCAGGAATAAATCACGGGGAGGTTAGGATCTATTCCCGACGGGCCTTGGCGTTGTGCTCCACCACTGTCAAGCGCCCCGGGACGCTATCCTGCCTCAGGGGCGCTATGGAAATGCAAGTAGTTGTTGTAGAAAAGTCATACGGCAAACTTCCTAAACTCTGGGCCCTGATTGAATTGTTAAAAACGCTCTATTTCATTTATACCATTATAAGAAAACGTGGGCAATTTTTTTGTAATTGTCATTTTTTTTTTACACGGCTGCTCTCACATTTGGTGGGGCCCGTGTCTGCATTTTTACATTCTCGCCCAAATACACGGTGTGAAGCGCTTTGAGACGTCTCAACGAAGGGATAAGGCGCTATATCAAGTGGAAGCATTATTATTATTGTTGTTGACCCTTTCACTCCGCTGGTTGGCGATGATTTTTTGGGGGGGAGGGAGCGAGCGGTTTACCTTGAGTATTTTTGCCAAATCTACTGGTTTTGCAAAATGTCCCCAAATAAAGTGCCCTCAACATGTCTCCTCCGCGATAGCTGAATATGACCGTGGTTTTAATGTTATTTGTCTTCCCTTTCCTCCCCTCTCCCCCCCCCCCCCCCCCCCACCACCGCCTTTCTCCCCTTCTCCCTCCCTAACCTTTTCCCTGGGATTTTTGCATTCACGAATATGAGGGATGTTCTGCCCCGGGGAAACCGCCAAATAGTGCTATTGACACAATTGGTGGTGTGGAGTCGGCACACTCGGCTTTGACCGAGTCTGCTCTGGAACATGAAGTCCGGGACTGATTGTCTTCCTCTCTTTCTCTCTCTCTCTCTGCAAACTACAAGGGCCCCAAGTGAATGAGTTGTTGAGCAATGTCAACCCACTCCTGAAGACCTGGCCGCAGATCCAAAAGTAACAAAGGCACGGATCCTTTGCACCAACCGGCCCACAGTTTTGCCACCCAGATGTACCGAAGCAGCCATCTTGCTTTCTAGAAACCCGAACGACATCTGATCTTCAAACGGACGCAAGAAGGGAATCTCGCCTGCGATTGGAGCCTACGGGGTAGGTTGATGCGACCGAGTGATGCTGAAATGGTTTTATTTTCCAGCACTGAAATCCTACCCTCGTGGGTCGTGTTCTACGACAACAACTTGAATTTGTATCGCCAACCTTCATGCAGGGTAGTGTCCCAGAGCTCTTCTGAACAGTACGTTTGATATAGCGCCTTATCCAGAGTTGAGATGTGCCTTAAAGCGCTTCACAGAATACATTCTCAAGTGAATTGACTGTGTATTTTCACCAAAACTCTTCCTCTCAAGTCCCTGTTCTCTCTCTCCCTCTCTCTGTGAGAGAGTGGCTGCTACAACAGCCTCGTTGCTCTGTGAATTGTCGGAGAAACTGGGTCAAGCAGTAGGTGGGTTAGAAAGTGGCAGCTGCTGTGTGCTGGGCTGCCGATCTTGTGTTGCGTCGGGAAAGCTGTTGTCATCTCTCGTTGGTGATCTTTGCACACTGTTAAGAAGCCGTCAGCTGTGTAGAGCAGGTCTCCCGATCGCAATGCAAATTCTGGCGTCGGAGATGGTTTGGTTCAGGATTTTTTGTTATTGATTCTTAATTTATTATTGATATGCCAGAATCTCATAAATATTCTGAATTCAGTGAAACGTACAGGATTGGGAAAGACTAATTGTCTCTTTACCTACCCTCTTCTTGGCTGTGTGTGTGTGTGTGTCCAGCTAATGGCCTCAAACAGTCGTATAGGAAGGCAAAGCTGATATCGTGCAGAACTGTGCTGATTCATCAACCATTGATTTTCCTGTAAGCTGAATCTGTTTCACTTTATCACCAAGCCAGTATAGACATAGTTTCATTTGATAGATGTGGGTGCTCCTGTTCAGTGGAAAACTGCTCTTTGTTTCAAAACCCACACGCTGCCGTTTATTTAATCTTCAATTTGTTCTTGGGTGGGGGGTGGGGGGAGGGAAGTGATTTGCGACTGAGAAAAGCAAACTGGAAGATAACGGGGAAATCTTTCGACAGGACGTTGAAGCTATAATCCCTGATGAATCAAAATTCCGTGATGGCAATTTCATCCGGAAAAGAGCCATTTTGTGGCAGAACATAGTTAAATCACCGGACTCGGTGGAAGAGCCTTTTTGATCACGAAGAAGTAGATACGTTTCAAAGGTCACAGTGATCATAGGAGATTAATTCAGACTTTAATGCTTCACATTTGTGCCGCTCAGCTCCCATTCTGGTTGATAGTTATAATAATAATCCTTGCATTTGATATAGCACCTTATCACCTCGTTGAGATGTCTCAAAACCGCTTTAAGGAATATACTGTAAAGTGAATTGACTATATATTTTGAGGGTGAAACGTAGCAGCCAATTGCACGCAGTAGCGTCCCCACAAACAGCCGTGGGTTGAGTGACACAAGGGATTATTACCCCCGAAAAGCGAGATCCACCAACTCGATTAACATCTGGGTTCCAACTTACTTACTGCTAGGTAAATAGAGGCCTGTGGAGTGAGGCATTTTGCACTGCTCGGGGATGAAACTCAGGTCCTCTCACTTGCGAGGCGGGCGAGCGAGCGAGCTAACCACTGCGTTGTTTTTAAATGAGGAGGAAATCTAAACGGTCTCAGGAAGCCATGGATTGCAGTTTACAACTCTAGCTCACTAGCGCTCAAGTATCTGGTCGCGTTGTGGTAAGAGTTACCCTCCGTTAGTCATGCTGTTCTGTTGTTCTGGTACAGCAGACAGCAAGAGAGGTCAGTGGAGTAAGGAAACTTGCCCAACATTTCGCCCTGACCTGCCTGGAATCGAACCCGGGTCCTCTCGCTTGTGAGGCGAGTGCTCTAACCCCTCAGCTACAGGACTCCCATGTATGGATGAATGTAATCACTGTTATCCCAAACCTCTTCATCGACTCAGCAAACCAATAAGCGCTGTCTGATTCTTAACTTCCAAGTTCATTAATTGCGAATTTTGTTTTGCTCTGTTGTACTCACCGGGGGGTTGAATATTAATCTCCTGGCAGTTTTGGACGTGTAATTACTGCTTCACTTTCCTATCCTGTGTGTATTGCAAATGGTTTCTGTTACATTGGACTGTGAAAGCGAAGAGCTCAATTAAAGTTCTCAGCTGGCAGCAATGTTCTCTCTCTATATGCTACAGCGACTGCCAAGCTGACAACAGTGGGCCAGCCGTTTTATCATAGCTATTTTGCTGCTTGAGGTGGTGCTTAACCCGTAGAAGCGCACACAGAAGACAAAAAATCTCTCAATTAAAAATTGAGATATGATGACACAGAAAGCGATCGCTTTCCGGGGCTAATAATCTGTTTGTGGGGACGCTGCTGTGCGCAATTGGCACGTTTCGTCCACGAACCACACAGTCAATTAACTTTACAGTATATCCTGTGAAGCGCTTTGAGACGTCTCGACGATATGATAAGGGCGCTGTATCAAATGCAAGCTGCTGGTATTTGGGGGTGGACCAATTTATAGGGCTATGGGGAGAGAGAGCAGGGGAGTGGGATTGATTTGGATGGCTCTTTTAAAATAGCCGGCACAGACCCGATGGGACGAATGGCCTCCTTCCGTGCTGTGTATATAATTCAATGATTCTGTGGCTATCACGGTTTTTTTTGCAAGAAAAAATAATCTGGGTTGTGTTTGAGAGTGCGGCTGGCTTTGATAAGCAGTGGCGTTTTGCTGACGTGAAGTAAAGCTGTGTGGATTTCGCCTTCTCTTGAGCCACGCGCCGATCCTCGGAGGAGGTATTTAATACTCGTGTTCATCCTGATGATCTCCACTTCTCGCCATGCGAGGAATTTTTATGGTGTCTTGTAACATCAAAGCATCTTGTGTCGAGGGTAGTCTCCAAACCAAACTGACAATTCCATGCGTCCCACCTACACATGGAAAAGCCAGTGGTACAGCAAGGTCCCATAACCATTCAATGAGGTGGACGTTCTTTTTAATAATCTTGCATTTGACGTGGTGCCTTATTACATAAGCACTTGAGACTATTTTTTCCGTAAAGTGCAGTGCCCCACAAACAGCCATAAATTGAATGGCCAATTTCAGAGATGTTCTGCTTATTCTTCCCTCATTTCCCACAGAAATATGGGATCATTAATGTTCAACGGATGGGATCTCAATTTATGAACCAGATCTGGAGAAACAGCAGCTCTCACAGCGCAGCGCCTCTTCGGCAGTGCTTTGAGTTTTAGCCGAGTCTCAGTTCCAAACCCTGACCCGGAGCTTGAACCAACAACCTTTTCACCCGCAGGCAAGAATGCCACTCAGTGTGCTCCCAAGTCACCAGGTCACTACTGGCTAGAATGCCTTAAGGTAGCCGTTCACTTCAACGACAACAACAACAACAAAACCTTGCCCCTCACGCAGGACAGTGTCCCCAGAACGAAGGTCTTCAGACTCAACATGAAGATGAGCATTCGTGGGGCGCGAGGTGGAGGGATTGAGGGAGAGAGTTCCAGAGTTTCGAAGGGCAGTGGCTGAAACTGTGGCCATCAATGATGGAAAGGAGGGCACGAGGAGAAGCAGGAGGCCGGAGCCAACCGAGTGGAGGCAGCGGGTAGCGGGTTGGGGGGAAGTGAGTGTGGCCATCAATGATGGAAAGGAGGGCACGAGGAGAAGCAGGAGGCGGGAGCCAGCCGAGTGGAGGCAGCGGGTTGGGGGGAAGTGAGTGTGGCCATCAATGATGGAAAGGAGGGCACGAGGAGAAGCAGGAGGCGGGAGCCAGCCGAGTGGAGGCGGCGGGTTGGGGGGAAGTGAGTGTGGCCATCAATGATGGAAAGGAGGGCACGAGGAGAAGCAGGAGGCCGGAGCCAGCCGAGTGGAGGCGGCGGGTAGCGGGTTGGGGGGAAGTGAGCAGGTCGGAGAGACAGGTAGGGAGGTACCAGGGATTTGAAGGCGAGTGCGAGGGCCTTGAAACCGATCCTTTCGGTGATGGGGAGCCAGTGGAGCCTGGCTGGCACTGGGGTGACGGGGGTGAGGAGTTCAGTGCGCGTGAGTATGCGGATGGCGGAGTTTGGGATTGACTATACTGCAAATCCAGAGCGTGACCCAAGTCATAAACGAGCTGACAGTGTCACAGGGCCAGGACCGTGCTTGCCCTCACTGTTTTATTCAGCACTGTAACCCGATGTTCTGCGCATCGCACGTGACATCCTCAATCAGTTTGAAGCATTCCCGAGCTGCCGTATCTCAGCTTGATACTCTGTAAATCTAAGCTGCTAATTGTAATTGATTTAAAAAAAACCTTGGCTGTTAAAACAATGTCCTGTAACCCTTCTTAAGCCTTCGCAAAGCTGGATCTCAGTCTCTGCGAACTGACTTGTCCGAATCCATTGTTGCGGCCTTTCCAAAAGGGAGAGCCGATCTTTTTTTTTTTTTTTTTTTTGGACGTTTTTCTCCTCGAGTTGTAACCTCCACGGAGTCCCGTAGAGTAGTGGTTGGAGCCCTCGCCTCGCAAGCGAGAGGGCTCGGGTTCAATTCCCCGGGCGGGGGCGAAACCTCAGGCAAGTTTCAAGCCTCTGCTTACCTACCAGTCAGTAGGAACCCAGTTGTTAGTCAATCGGCGGATCGCTTTCTGAGGGTAATAATCACTTTCGAAAACAAAGAATAATTTGGTCACTTCAATCCGCGGCTGTTTGTGGGGGACGCTGCTGTGCGCAATCGGCTGCCGCGTTTCACCCACAAAATACACAGTCAGTTCACTTTACTGTGTATCCTGTGAAGCGCTTTGAGACGTCTTGAGACGAGGTGATAAGGCGCGGTGTCAAATGCCAGGATTATTATTACTATCTTGACAGCCACGATCACCTTGCATTGCTTCACCTCTGTTGCACCACCAGAACCGTGCCTACCGTGAACAGCGCGAGCTCGTTCAGTAACACGAGCGTCTGCTGCAGTTTTATAGGAGATGATCGATTGTTGATCCCGTTTCCGTGGGTTTTTTTTTTCTCTCTACAATATTTAATAAGTGTCGGCCTGGCTCAGTCGGTTGCACTCTCGCCTCCGAGTCGGAAAG